AATATCTGCATAAATATCTGAATGACCTAGATGTAGATGCAGGCACCCATTGAAAATCATTGTCACTTAAAATACCATATGTCTAGACATAGGTTACTAGGAACTGGTTGTCATCTTTTGTTATAGGCTTTGCCTGTAGGTATCTTAATACAGAAATTCATTTATTTAAGTCAGAGCCCCAACTGGGAGATTAATGTTTCCTGCATTCAGTCCTACCTGTATGATTAACACAGCTGGAGCCTTTAAATTGGCCCACAAGTGACTAAATTACCCACAATATCATTTATTTACCCACAATGACATGCTGTGTTGAAACTGATAGTTTGGGATTGTTTTGTACCATTTTCATTGTTGATTGTGACCATGGCATATACTGTATACAATGTCCATATATGGGTAAAAATATTTGAGAAATCAATGTTGTAATAAATATCAAATGCTACTAGGAATGGTATATAGGTGACTTAATTTGATGTCGCCACCAGTTTGGTTATTTTTAACTTTATGTTGAGTTATCCCATCATATTCATGCTTCATGCATTACATGTATGTAGTGATGGTCTTTAGACGTGAATTATGGTACACAGGTAAACATGTGCACAGATGTAAACTTAAAGAACATATAATATCAGCCCCTTAGGTTATAAATGTAGTATATTCTTGCCCATGTTATTTATTTCAATTTCAGTGGCAAGGGTAAATAAACCAAACACACACACACACATACAAAATAATTACTAGCCACCAGAATTAGAGGCTGACATTTTAGCTTGGCCATTCACAACCTGCACACTTTGCACTCTTAATTGCTTGACTGCTTTTCAAATTCAAAGCAGGGCAAGTCCATTTATGCAAATTTAGTATGACCAAGTTTGACAGATAGCCTGATATACATTTAAGGCACACACAGTGTTTCACTGCAATGTTTTGGGGTATAGATATAGTATATCCAGATTTTCAATTGTTTGTGTTTACTTTAAAGATTGGTATATCAGATGACAGGAGATTTGCAAAGATTAGTTGTAATAGAAGAACTTCATTATGTTATGGGACAGTAGGTGCAAACTTGTTTGCAAATCATTAAAAATTTGTACTATAGTATATAGCTGACACTACAAGAATATAAGCTTTTAAAGCAATACACTCCTAGAAGTATGTAAGAAATTAAAAAAAAATAAGTTATTTACATTCATATTTAAAAAAAAGTTAAATATATGAGGAATGTACCTTTAACTTATTTGATCAAGGTGTGTTCCAAAATGTGGTTTAAACAAATGTATTTTTTATTCAAAATGTTATGTTATCTATCATAAATAAGTGTTCTTGTCTGAAGTAAAAAGTGTAGGAGGTGAAAATGATAAAACGTATCACTATAAGTCATGTTAGTTTGTTTTTTTCACAGATAAAATATGAATCTGTTGATTTTTTTTTGACATACAGAAAATTTATTGCGTCATTGTAAATACTTTAAGTTTTCATGAAGAAAAATAAAAGAAAGAAAATTAGATCTCAATATTTAATTGTATACCTGGGAATTCAGAAATGTCTTGAAATTATTTAGATCTGTTGAGAAATCAATTATCATACTTATTTAAAATTAAAACTCTCTGAAATTTCAGCAGATTTTTCATGCTGTATATATAGTTATCATTATAATATTCCAAGGTAGATAATGCCAGAAGTATTCCAAACACAGTTTCCAGGTAATCACTTAGTGTAACATGATATACTCTCCCCAACACTTCAAGGAATTAGAAACCTGGCTTTATTATTTATTTTTGGGATAAACAATAGTTACACCTTTCATTACTTATCGGATTTCTTGAAGGAAAGAATATGTTCCTATGAAGTTAATATCTTCTGTATATATTTCACATATATCTCACAGCAGGCTGTAAATATATCACAGACAGAGTTATTTCCCCTCCTTGTATTTGTTAATGCCTTAATGGATATACCTGATTGCACTTGGGGACTTGAATTAGCAACACTGTTGTAAATTATTATATAAGGTCTATAATAGTGAAGTCATTATTGTGTTGTATCCTTAATTGGGTTACAATCGTAATTAAGTTGAGTACAGGTTACAATATTGTATTTCTGAGATCATTCAAGATCACATATACTGGTATCTGATCAACTATGCTATATTTCTAACACGTGTTACGCTCATCAAATATTGATAGCTTATCCATATAACAACAGTCCTATCCAATCTTTTAAAATATCTTGCCTGGAAGATGTAGAAAAACACACAAAAAACATGGATATAGAGCTCTGATAGTTGGGACTCTTGCCTCTTGTTGATCAGAGATAAGGAATTCATTTAAAAAATGAAAAACAGAAATGAATAAATAATGATTGAATTGAAAAGGATTTGAATTATATTATGCAGAAAAGGTTATAACTGCTTTGATTGTCTAACTCATAGCGAGCGATTGATTCCACCCATGTGACTAGGGCAGACCTAGATCAGGCGGAACATCCATGCTGTCTGATCATGGTCTGCAATGTTCCCTGTTATGCAGTTAGTACTTTTTTTAATTATTCCAAAAAATAATGAATGGTTTTGTCCAGATTGAAAAAAACTGTTAAAGATATTTAGTGTGGTAAAGGTTAATTTCTTAGAGCCCTCAAAATAATGATAAATTATATAATAATACCTTAACCTTTAATGCAGCAGCTTCCAGCAACACCCACACACGTTCAGTGTTTTATTTTGTTAGGAATTCATTTTTGGATTGTCCACTAAGGTCAGGATTTGACCAGCAATATGTCCTGATTTTAAAGTCAAAATCCCAGCTATAATCCTGTGGTGAGTCAGGGAGTGCAGCAGTGGCCTAGTGCAGACTAAATGTGTTCAAATAAGATGACAATATGAAGGAAAACTTGAAAATTTAAAACATATTGAGGTCAATCTGTCTTAGTTGTATCTGAAATGACTTTTAAAGTAAAGAGAAATATTGATGAATTGCTGGATTTGTTACATGCAACACTTTATAATGTGACTGTCATATATATTCCTGTCAGTTGTAAATAACAAATAAATCATCCCATTTTAATATTAGGTCTTTAAAAACGGTCTTAACCTAAGTTGTAAAATAGTGATATTAACCTGAATAAACAATAAAATACAATTTATTACTTCTATTTAAGGCAGCTACCTACATTTTACTCTCGATACAATATTGATATAACTGCATATAAAATATAGAGGCAGATAACATTGTTGTGCATTAACTATATAAATATGCATTTACCTTCCCTCTATGGCATCATTTTGTCTGATAAAATGTTATATATTTTACTATCTTGATGCAGTCAGTGTAGAAATATGCTACAGTAATACAAACAGGTTGTGGAATTTTACTTGAAGTGGGCGTTAGTTTCAAGTGCAGCGTAACTAATTTTGAAGCGTGCAACAGCAAAGTGCTAAGTTTATCATATTAATGATTCACTAGGTTGTCTCCATATTAATGTTATTTTAAAAAAATATAATATTATGTTCTATGTAACAAATGAAATGACAAAAATCTATTATGAATGTTTCAAATAGTTAAAAGGTAAGTGTAGCCCGAAGTATACAAAACAGTCACCCTCCAACATAATACAAGGTTACAAAATTGCCTTCGATATCATTAGTTACAAATGATAGAAAGAAAATGAGCTGAGTATGCACATTTGATATGAATCACACAGTTTCATTTGCAAGACTTTAAATTGTCTCCTATTGGCAGAATTGATTTAATTCTTTGTTAAAGTAATTTACTTTAGAAAGATGAACAGTCTGCGGACAGTTTTGCTTAATATGTTAAGTGTTTGCCACTCATTTGCCAGTGACTTTGGGATTGAGCTCTACTGGTGTCAATTAGTTTTCTTTTTTTGACAACAAAGCTTTGAACCGGATCGGTTAGTGATTTTTCAAAAATATAAAATATATATTAAACTTAGCATATTTTCAGATTTTTTTTGTCTTCTTTCTCGTGCAGTATCACACATACACACCACTGCTTATATGGCTATGTTACTGTGACCTTTGCACAATTTTCTCCTTTATTAATTTTTTGCTACATCATCAAATATTATAAAAAAACAAAGGAGTAATTGTGTAATTAACAATGAGCCATATGCATTATGTGGTATGCATTTACCTACCCCCCCCCCCCCATTTCACCACTACTCACATCGCTGATATACTGTGATAAATTGATAAAAATTTGTTATCGCTGATCTTTGAAGTGGTGTTTTGCATACTTTACTACTTACTATTATGTTGCTTGAAGTGCTCTTGATGTTTTCATAGGAAGTCATAGCTTTTGTTTGATAAATCCTTGTATTATTTTTTTTATGTTTTGTTTATTGAAACTTCTTATATAAAAATTAAGACTCAAGTGTTGTAATAAAAGTATGCAAAGGCTAATAAGACTAAGTGTGCCAGGCACAGGATTGGTTGCAACCATAATCATGTACTTTGAGCGACGTTGTACATGTATTTCTTGCAGCACAAATTGACTTTTATTTAAAGAACAATGCACTCTCATGACCCTTATTTAATTACATCTTTTTTGCAACAATTTCCAGGCTGCCTCAAATATGGCCGTCTGCACCAAATAAATAAATATATCAAATACATGCACAAGAACTGTCCTCTTGTAGTACATGTATATTGTAACTTTTCGTCTGTTCAGTCGGGGATTTGGTAGAATGTGACTGCTTTGTGTTCAATATAAAAATATCTCCTATCAAAATAAATTTTCAAAAATCACATGTCAAACAGAATTCATTCACTCACACAACAAAAAAGTCTTATTTTATCAAAACCCATCTACATATATACATGTACTCAAATTTACTTTTACTCAGTGCCAAATTCATAAGTGTATACTTTTATATGGGTATAGCAGTTATTCAAACTTATTTTGTTGAATTTACAAAAGTTGTATTATTCTTGTCATTTCTTGCAATTAAACTTGGTATTTATTCAATGTTTGTCATTTCAGATTCTGGAGATATTGTGGACAGTAAAATGAAGTTGATCCTGGGTTTAATATGGACCCTTATTTTACATTATTCCATCTCCATGCCCATGTGGGAGGGAGAAGAGGAACAACCCCAGGAAGGTGGACCCACACCAAAACAAAGATTGCTCAACTGGATTCAGGGCAAGGTGCCCGACTTGCCAATCAAAAACTTCACCACTGACTGGAATGACGGCAAGGCCATTGGTGCCTTGGTAGATGCCCTTGCTCCAGGTAAGTTTTGAACCAGTCTGAGTAACGTAACTGAATGCTCAAAGTTGATGTTTGGATATCAATGTTCTACATTTTCATTATCATCAAGATTTTTCATGGTGGTGTCTTTGGCTGAGTGGTTAAAGTCATTGACTTCAAATCACTTGCCTCTCATCACTGTAGGTTTGACCTGAGAAAGCATGCCAAATTCTACATATGAGAAAGGTAAACAGCTAGCTCACAGACCGTCAGTGGTTCTACTCAGGAACCTGTTTGTGCCTGAAATAATGTACAGAGTCAGAGAGGCACCTAACAATTATATCTTTGGTAACAATTATTAACTAAATGACCATCATCAGGAGACTGTATATACATGGACCATTGACCATTGTATGTAAGTGAATGTAACTGGTCAAACTGTTGCCGATGATAACATTCAAGTACTCCTCTTTTTGTTAAAGTGAATTTAAAAGTGTCATCAAGCAACTGACAAAAGCTTTTAATGACATTTGAGATGGTTGCATGGCTTTCCTGATCACTTATATCAGACATACTTATACCACTTCAAATTATCACCAAGTATCTCCTTACCAAACAGCTACTGAACCTTATGGTATGATATAAAAAAAGTTGCAAATGAATGAAAGGGTATATTATTATATAGTTGTTAATAGACGTAAACTACTGACCTCAAGCAGTACTTGAAAACGACTATGTCAAAATATTCAGACCATAAACTCTTATCAGTCTGCTCTAGCTAGAGAACATGTTTATGTTATTTCTCACCAAGAAAATTTTGCAAATTTGCTCTACAAGCTAAAATAAGATGTGTAAATAAACATTTAAAATTTTTGACTATTTTTCTGTCAGTTTTTCTTGGCTGGTCTGGCCTGAGCCAGATCTATATCAAAAGTTCATGGATCATTATAAGTTCATGGATGGGCTTTAGGGAAATGATGGAAAACATACCAGTCTTGTTTTCTTAACTCATTCTTAAACTTACAAAGATAATCCCTGGGTATTAGAAGGCAGACTAAATCTGTTTTGAAGGCAGGAAAATACTGATCACAATTTTTTTTTGTAGCACTGATGATAACACTTTGATATTAAGATTTTAAGTGCAATCTGGTATGATTTAAGATTTTAATAAATTAGGACCCAGTAGCATCAGTAAGCTTGAATCAAATAATGATAATTGCCTTTTCTAAATATATATACTAAGTTGTGGTGTCTAAGAATATAAAGAGGAAGCTATCCAAATAGCATGCAGCATGTACATTATTCTACCTTTGTACCAAAAATAATTCATTAATGGGTTACATAGGGTCTTCTACAATATGTCAGGCTTCTACATCACTGTACAACTTTAAATATACATGTACATAAACAGGAAAAACCAAGCAAAAGAACAAAATACTGAGGCAATATGATAGATATTGATCATCTTTGTTATACATGTATTATATCTCATATAGGTTGACAACCTTGATTTTATAGCAAGTTTTAACAATGACCTGTAAGTACAGTATTTTTACATCTAAGCTAAAGCAAATTATTGTTCATTTTAGGTTTGTGCCCTGATTGGGAGGATTGGGACCCCAAGAAAGCCAAACAGAATGCCAAGGAAGCCATGGATGCTGCAGAGAAATGGCTAGATGTACCACAGGTAAGTTACCATGGCAATATATACTAGTGACCATAACAACATTAAGGTATATTCTTCCATCTGCAGTGTTTTTTAAGCCTCAGCCAGTGTATTGATGACACTATTGAATAAGTGGAATTAAAGAAGCTAACAGACAGTGTTGACCCTAACTGTATAATGGACTTGTCAAGTATTCTATTATTACTCCACAACACAGTGGGTGTGTTGTGGTGGGGCTAAATACATGTAGAAATATTATCACTTTGTCCCACCCCAGTCCCAAACCGTCTTGCTCTACCTGCTACAATTGTTAAATGTCGCATTTTGAAAAAAAAGTTTTCCCTAGGTCTTAAACACAGTACATAATGATTGGAAAATATCATGATTTAAAGAATGTAGGCGGATCATTTGGTTGGATTTAATACTTTTCACATTTGAAAGTTTAATCAATGAAAAGGTCAGGTTAAGTGGTATATCACCTTAAATTTGACATGGTTCAGATTAAACCCAGACTTATCCAGATTTACTATGACATTAATTAAAGTGTGAAAATGAATGATATAAGGTATGAGCTGAGTTTCATGCAGAATACCTAGAATGATATAGATCATATAACTGGACAATCAGTTGATAAATTCATATATGTGTAAATAAAATAAGTTTGGTAAATTTTGTAATAATCAGACAGATATAAACTATTTCTAGCTTGTGATAAAATTGTGTATTGATAATAAAGTTGAAAGTGTTTACCAATGATAAATAACACACTGATTTTATGTTAATGATATAGCTTTAGGGATAGTGACTCCTGTGATGTTATTGATAGTTTATCTCATCTCTCTCTGTCTCTCATAACTGATGTTTTTTAAATTTGTTGAGAAACAAGATATTTCCCATTTTGCTTGCAATGCTTTAAAATCCTGTATTAAACTGGCTTGTTGAGTTAATAATAATGAGTTGGTACAGTCTTGGATTTTACCATAAATTTATATCTGTGATTGGTTTATACAGAATATAATATTATTTTAGTTCGATTGTGTAGAAAGCTATAAGCTTATAGACACACTTTCTAATCCCTTCCTGGAGCCAACCAGTACTGAGCAATGAGTGTAGTTTCTTGTTCAAGTAAACAACAACCTGCCCCTGACAGGGTTTGAACCCATGTGGCCAGCGATGTAATTTAAATAAGTTACAATTTCTTAATTAAAGTATGGTTAATGGTGGTTAATTGATCATTATATAATTAGGAAAGTACCAGCCTTGTCAACTTGTTGCATAATGTTTTGACACAGATTTCATTCTGCAGCTTATGTGTTCGGTGTTGGTAGTTAACACTCCAGAGCCACATTGAATTTACCAGAGCACCTGTTCATTAGTACTGTCTGACCAGCCATTATACTCTTGATGGCTAAATGTTAAGTACTTTCATACTGTATTCCCTTTTATTAACAAACAATTGGAAAGATAGAAATTAAAGCATGGATAGTCCATTACAGAATTTCAGTTGTGTTAAAGGTTAATGTCATGTGTTAGAATTTGTGTAAGCGAAAATATATTTATGAATAAACTAGCCTAGATTAAACCAGTTATGGTGATGCTATTATGATAGAATCAGTTAACCTCAGTTAGATGTATAAAGCTTGGTTTCGATGTATAAAGCTTGGTTTCGCACCAGATGAAATGCAATTATGACATAAAGGTATCTTTAATCTCATCTAGACATAAATGTGAATGATGTATGTATGTATATATATATATTATTTACAACCTTGGGGCATTCTGATCTACACATGTTTTTCAGAGCAGAGTCAAATATGTTCTATCTTGATAAATACCACAGTGAAATATGTAAGGATGATTTTGATTGGTTCGCCAGACATGCAGCGTACTTTATATTGAGGTAATCAATGATGCGGAACAATTGCAACTGTTATTTAATGATGATGGAAATTCAACTGTTTTGCACCAAGGTCATGTTATTTTAATAATTAAAGGTACAGAATAAGTTTTTAAATCTGACAATAATGAAAACCTTAATGGCGTACCCCTCTCATTTATATAGTGGACTCATCCGGCATTGAATTTGGAACTGTACATTGTTAATATGAGGGGATAAAAATTGAAATATTAAGCAGGCAATTGTATTATAGGTCTGGTCAAACTTGCATGGTGGGCATACAGCCTGGCACAATACTGTTAACATGTTCACTATCATATTGTAGAGAACCAAGATACACATCTAACTGATCGTAAATGTTAGATCCCTTCAAATTAGTGTATTACATGTATTATGAAAAATACTATACTATCTGTAATGTTAAAGAAAAGCAACAGGTGTCCAGATTATAAATGATGCAAGTGTTGAAAAATTTATTCTATTTAAATGATTTTAAGTGATCAAAAGTTTTGAATATTAATTATCTGGAATATTAGGCCCAACTTACTGGTTTATACAGAATTTATTTTAAGTTTGATTGTGTAAGAAGTTATAAGCTTATAGACACACTTTTGAATCTGATCCTGAAACCTGGTGAACCAGTACTGAGCAATGGGTGTAGTTTCTTGCTCAAGGAAACAACGGCTTGCCCCTGACATGGTTTGAACCCGTGCAGCTAGTAATCATTAGATTTCTGGTATGATGCGTTAACCACTTGGCCATGCCATCACTTGTCATCATACCATTGGTCCAAAATATACTTCCTCTGATAAAAGAATAATACTTAGCTTCAACCTCTTATTAAATATATATATATAACATAGATATATTATTGATAGCAAATATTATACCTGGATTTCTGATTTTGATCAGGGATCAGAAGAAACTATCAATTAAGTTAATAGTATCATTATGTATTTAAGAAACGATGGATCATTCAAAATACCCAGCATGCGACTTATTTCAAAATTAAATGAAATCTTAATATTGATATTAAAATCGTATCCTGATAGTGTTATTATATCATATCTCAATAATACATCTCATCTGCGGAAAAAATTCTACATTTGTCAAAATTACTTACCTGCCAGGATTTACTTTGAAAAAACCAACATAATCCTGTGTTGATAAAGAGTAAGGTGTTGCATTAATGTGTCTCTAATTGCAGGGATCTAAGTTCTAAAGATAATTCTTAACCTCTACTGACAATGTCAGAATCAAAGGTAGATATGAATTTAGATAGCGAAATAGACCCATTTGAAGTGGTGATTTTTGAAAGGCAGTGGCGACCTTGAAATTATCAGAGGTTTGTCAGGCATCTGCGTTGTAACTAAATGTTAAAGAACTTTTGAGCTATAATGGGTGTGAGGATATCAATTGTGGTATTTTGAGTAATTAGATCTTTTTCATGTAATTGATAAGAAATTGGCAAGTTCTATAATGTACATGCACGTATTAGAAGACAGGTATTTTGGAAGGAAATATAAGATGATATTATATTTATCGGTATAACTGAATATATTGTTTTTGTTTGATTTTAGATATAAATACCATAAATATATTTTTGTCATTATCTAATAATATCCTCTATTTATAATTTATGTTGATAAAGATATTTCAAGAATTTCAAAGGTGTGAATTCAATTCAAGAACCTGCTGTTTTCTTGTAAATGTCTGGTATTCCAACCACCCTAAATTTTCAACTTTATCTGAACATGTAAAAAAGACATCAAAACTGAAAATCTGAAGTCTTCACATATTTGTATTAAGTAAATAACAAATTAATTTTTAGAGGTTTTATATTGCAATAACATTTAAAATTAAAGATTTAGATAATAAAAGTTGTAAGTAAGCAGTTTGATATTATTTGCTTTATTGTTTTTATTGAAATGTTAAGTTTTGAATTAAAAGGCTGCTTTTTTTTGCAATAAAAAATTCAAAGGTCTAATTTGTTAAACTGCATGCTTATGTGGAGAAAATGAGACTTACATGTTTAATTTTTTTTATAATGATAACAAGAAAAGTACTGGAAAACAATATTAAAAACAAGAGAGATGAATTTATGTGTTTTAAATTTTGGCGTTAAAAAGACATATTTCATAAATTTATATTTCATAACCAGTTTCATTATGATGATGATATTTTAATTACCTCAGCCATGTAATGATGTGAACTTTAAAGTACATTTTCATTGTAAAGAACATAATAGACTTAATGCACTGTGATCACAAACATATGTAACTTGTTGACAACGGTTACTTTGACTTTTAAAGCAATTTGTTATAAATGTCTGATGGCCCAGGTAACGTTTGGTGCATTTCATGTAAACATAATCTTCATGCATGCATCGATGAATTAACGATTACCCTTTAGCCTAGTGGTGGCAGCAATGTAACCACTGCAACGACCAAAATTATTAGCCAGTACACCTGTGCTATCTGATCTGGTCTGCACTGTTTGCTATTAAGTCAATACTTATTTTGAAATTTCCTCCAAATATGATGAATGGTTTGGTCCAGATTGAAAGATGCACAAGTCCATTTATGTTATTTGGGAGTGATAAGTTACAGTTTAACCTCTGTATTTGCACTGTAGTGTCTCACTGGTCAGACTGTAGACATGTCTCATGATACCTGGTGGCACAGGTTTGTCAATAACTTGTTGCTGCCAGCTTTCTGAGATGTAACACACAGGAAACTATGTCTGACAGGAACACTTTGCCAAGGTAAAAGACAGGGAAGTTTTCCAACATTTTTTTTTAGCTGAACTTGCAAAAGTGGTGATGACTTATGCTGTATAAGCTATTAGGCCAACCAAAACTTTTGTACTTTCTATACAAATGTGATTATGAGGCCAAAATATTTCACAAATTATTATCGAAAGAAATAAGCTGACATTACCTCCTCCTGTCTCCTCACTGCTGTGATCAATAGGATGGACAGAATAGTAGGAGATATGTCAAATGGGCATTTAGTATATGAGCTGCGTCACGACAAAACCAACATAGTGCGTTTGTGACCAGCATGGATCCAGACCAGCCTGCGCATTTGCGCAGTCTGATCAGGATCCATGCTGTTCGCTTACC